AGAGAGAGAAAGAAAGAGATATACTCTGATTTAATAATTTCTTGATGATTTACATCCATAGAAATCAGCCAACTTATAGACTTCAAATGTTAAAGACGAGCAGCAATGGAGGCTGAAATTACTCAGGTGTTTGGTTGCAGCTGCGGCAACAGGAAAAAGGGGTCGTTTCACTATTATTTCGGTCAATAACTCCAACTCTAATTTGTACACGTAAACAAACTATTTTACTCTTTTCTGTGCATTTCTCTTTTTACCCTTAAGTAGTATCCTGACAATACCCGACCCTTGAACATCAACCTTATCCCCAAGGTTGACAATAACCTCTTTTTTAGATATATATTTTTTATTTTATTTTTTTGTTTATTATTATTATTATTACATTATATTATATTCTTACTATTATTACTTTTTTTTATTTTTATTTATATAGATATATATGTATATTCTATTTTGAAGTAGTTTTTTAAAAGCAGTCGCAACTCTGATTCTACTCTCTCTCTCTCTCTCACCCACAGGAAACTCCCCAACCACGGTCGCAGTCGTTGCCAACCACTTTCGCTGCCCAATCTCTAGCCCGCCGTAGTGTCGTCTTCTTCTTCTTCCACCACTTCTTTTCTCACCATTTTCCACTTTTTCTTCTTACTCTTCCTTCTTCCGACACTTCTTCTTCTCCAGTCACTTCTTCTTTTGTCTCTTCTTCTTCTGTCTCATTTTTTTCTGCCTCTACTTCGTCTGTTTCTTCTTCAGCTTCTTCTCCTTCTTATTCAAGAGTCCAATCTGAACCAGTTCAGTTCAGTGAACCAGTCTAGTTCGATCCAGGCAGTTTTAGGGCTTTGTTGGCTGGTCCAGATCTTGAACCGGCTTTAGGGTTTCCCTACCTTTCTCCCACGCAAAGGTGAAGCGGAAGTGATTCCCCTTTGCCTGACAACTTACCACGCAGCTGAACGTAAGGTTTCAACGTGTCTATGGGTAGAACTCTGTTGCGAATCATGTCCACCAACAGGTCCAGTGTTCGCTTGATCTCATAATTTTCCTCCAAATTTTGGTCATCATCTGGTCGAATGCAAAAGTTTAGCGGTCACTATCTCTGTATAATCCACCACCGCCACCTCTCGTTTGGATCTGGAATGCTGCTCTAATACCATGTTGTCACGAACCTGATGCACGATTCAGATACGGAAGAAAGAGGAAGAAAGATGGAGAAAGCAGAAAGAGAGAGAAAGAAAATATACTCTGATTTAATAGTTTATTCGATGATTTACATTCATAAAAATTGTTATAGGATTCAAGTGTTAAAGACAAATGGCAACGGAGGCTGAAATTACTCAGG